ACCCTAAATCTATGAGAACAAAATGTTTTCTAGTCTTGACGGACGACATTTGTTCGAACAGGTATTCACCCGCGAGGAATCCGATACTGGCCAAAAATGCCAGTACTCCGATACCAATCCCGTAGTTGCACGCATTGTTGTCTTCATTGTAAAGACAAACTTCTTTCCCATCGTCTTTCACAAGATAGCCCTTGCTGCTTATACATCCAAACACGATTATTGCAAATAGCTAGAAGCATGATAAAAATTCTTCTGTAAAACGATAAAATGAAGAATGAAGAATAATAGAAACTCAGAAAATATATTGTATAAAATATAAAATATTTATACATAAAAATTAAGACTGTTTTCCTTTTAGAAGATCGAGTCATTCTATTTTTGTTATTCATTGAATGCCAAGAAGGATAGATAATGTATCAATTGTGTCTCCTAAAAGGAAAGTAGCTTAAAATACTTTAGCAAAAGCAATGCAAAATAAAAGGTTATATATTTAATATTCTTCAATTATTTTTATATTTTATTGTAATATATTTGATAAAATATATAAATAATAATTAAGTAGAAAAAAATATATTGCTGTATGTCTTGGCTGAAAAAAAATTCTTGAGTTTGAAATCAATAAAAATCTATTAAAAAATTCAATTTAACATAAACATGCTAGTCCAAAATCTTCAATATTTTTTCAAATATGATTCCAATCTTAAAATATCTCGAATCTTGAGCTGACATGCTCTGGCTGGTGCCTTGCATATTCAACCACTGCTTCCCTATATTTATAATATGGGAAAAATAAGCATTTTTGAAAAGAAAAAGAGAAAAACAGAGAGAACGACGAATGAGATGAAATTCATTAGTTAATAACGTTGTCAAGAAGACCACGGGGAGAGGTCTGCGATCCGAGCTTTTGCTCGAGATATATCCGTAAGGAAGATCAAAGAAATGATTCGCTCCGTCGAATCGAGGAGCAATGAATCTCAATTACACATCGAACACCATGAAGATCCATGATGCACGGGTGCGTACTGTTGGAATTCGCGAAAAATCAATAGAATCCCATCGTGGTAGTGGTAGTGGGGGAGGAGCCGAGGCTCTCTTTTAAAATCAATGACCATCCGCGTCGAGGGATCTCGCTCATTTCGCCCTCCCCCCTCTCTCGCTCTCTCTCTCTTTTTACGCACGTATTGTCGTCGTCGTGATCACGCTCTTGAATCGACCTTGAAATGATCCTACTTTCAGGAGGCTGCGACGACTTACCAGGCATAACGCTCTCAGAATGACCTGCGGCCGCTGGACGAACGCGATCGGATCGAAAGGGGCCCCGGCCTTTCCACCGCCGTACGCTCCACCGTCCATCTTAGTGCGACTGAAGCGGAGATTTCAAAGCTCACGCAGCGACCGAGCGCATGCGCATGCGTTCGCCGCTTCGACGGCGATCCCGGGGGTGTGTACGCGGATCCGACGCCGTGCCGTTCCGAAATCCCTCATAGCCATAATCTTCGAACGAACCCTCTCGCGATTTACTCTATATACCTCTGTCGACTTTCACCGTGGTCGGCGACTGTCGCGATTTGTCCTCAGGCTCTCTTCGATTTTCATTGCGATTTGCTCTTATATATATTTGCGCGGACTCTTTGACTTATCTATCCTTCATTATAATTTACTCCTAAAAGGGATGATACACCGAAGTGGAAAGGATTTACTTATTTCCACTTTCGACTCTGTCTTGAGAAAAGGACAAGAATTTATTAAATCCAATTATGCTTAAATTTTGAGTTTATATAAATAACTGATGTCTGTTTCAATAATCAATATGTTCAGCAGAGGAAGCTTTGCAACTTGTAAAATTTTTTGATATGACTTTATTTAGATTCAGTGAGGAACTCTAAGGGCAAAACTAATCATATAAAAGAACTTCATAACAGCTGCAAAGCTGCTTTCTTTGCTGAACGCAGTCAAAATGTTCAAGATTAATCTCGGTTCAATTGATTCTTCATTTTTTTCTAATTCTTAGAATTAGAAAAAGATGAAAAATAGGTTGAACTGAGATTAAAGATTATCTATATTAATGGAAATGGACATGATTGAAATTTTTCTGGGATTTTAGGTAGGTACTATGAATGGTACGTTAATTAAAATGAATCCTTATTCTGAAACATCTTATTAATAATATGTATTTATGGCACATGTTTATAAAGTATATAAAAAATTTGTTTGTACGACTTATGAACTTACGATAATAAAAGAATTATACATATATCAGTATATAATCTATGCATTTTAACACTATAAATCTTTTATCTCCAAAGTCTATTTAATAATATGAATGTTGCAACGCAGAATCCGCCGAATGAAATGCTATATAATATGTAAGAATATTTTTGGTTGTTTCTAGGCTGAAAGAAAGAAATTTAGCTTAGGCATTTTTGAAAAGGGATGAAAAAGTCAGATAAAATATCATTAAATAATAATAAAGTTAAATTAGATTGATTGAGTAATATAATTAAGTAAAAAGCGTCAAATACGATCGAGAATGTGGATTTTGGTGCTTAATAATATTTCTCTATGTTAATTTTAAATTTATCTTCCAATTATATAAATTGTTTGATTAATGTTAGATTTGAAACGCAATCATAAATTGAAACTGAAATAATACACAATTGATCATCAATTTAATAATAATACTAATAATATTTAATAATAATAAGCGCGCAGTTGATATAACTGAAAGATGCATTTAAAATTTACACAAAAATATTATTAGGTATCAAACTAGACCACTGTGTATAACACAATTAAACAGTTTCAGTATTGATCATATTATGTATCTCGTTATTAATTTATTCATTAAAGTTTGTTAATTTCTTGATAATAGATGTTTAATTATAAACTCCTTAATTTAAAGAAATATATATGTATAATATATTTTTTGATATGTACCATCATTATTATAGCTTCCAATTCTTTCAATTTCAATTCAGCGTCGCTGACTTCTTTAAGAGTAGCCTCAGCGGACATACACAGAATTTGAGAAGCACTCAAAGCTTTATCTGCCTCAACAAAGAAGTTGATTCTTTCTTTTTTCAGCTTCATTTTGCAATACTTTACAAAGTCTTGGATTATACTGAGCTGTCTCTCACCTACTTGTAGTATCTCTACTTTATCAAATATCCTGTAAAAATAACAAGATTTTTCAATTTCAATGTTATATATAAAAATATATTTTAATAACGATTTGATACCTATAATGAGGTTTTGGCTTTACATCGTATCGTTTTTTCTTAGAAATACATAGAGCGTTGGCTATATTTTCTGCATGATCTGCATCCGCACCTATAAGTAATTCCTTATTATCATCATTTTTTTATATACATGTTTATACATATATTTATACACATTATAAAAAATAAAGCGAAAAACAATGATAATATTGCTTCGTAACACAAAAGATATGTAATTTAAATAAAAATTTCTAATAAATCTATATTTAAAGTTAGAAGTAATTAGGTTTTATAGATTTTTTATTATAAAAGAAAAAGAATGAATTCTTCAAATTTTTTCATTGATTGCTAAAAGTTTCAAATTTTTGGGAAAGTATATTCTAAAACAATTATAATCCAATATTAAACAATAAAGTATTTTTTAAGACTGTAAATCATAACAATTAGGAAATGAAAGTCTTAAACGGTTTTAATACTTAAATAATTCAGTGTGAAATTTTACATACATATCCAATCCTGTAAATTGCATGTCGAATTAAATTATAATTTACATGGAATTTACACTAGAACCTCTAAATTTTAACCTAATAATATACTTTTACAAATTTTTAACAGAAATTATACACAATGTATTAATTGCAATAATTCAAATCTTCGTAAATAGAAGATGCTAATATCAAATATATTATTAGAATAAACGTATTACCAAGTTGTACAAAATCCTCCTTGGTCAACCTGTGCAACGCGTTAGTTGATATATTTCTCCTTTTACACTCCTTTATTAAATTCTGTGCCCCCACGCCGCGCAATAATATTTCAGTCTGCTTGGTAAATTCTAAAAGATCTACATTTGTGTCCATCTTTTTCCGAAAAGTGGAACAATTCAAAAGAAGCACTTCGAAATTTTTTTACATCTACTGTGCGTTTGTATACAAACATTAGACGGATTAGAGAAGTGTTCTATTATATCGACAACTTAGTGAATATCTGTTTTATCGATAGAGAGTCGGTAATACAGATCCCTGCAAAGCGTGGCTAACAAATATACAGTACAGCCTTTGATAAAAATTATTATTATTTATTATTTTTATATCTATTAATGTTAAAGGAATTCTAAAACCGTATTATTGACTAAACCATATAATTCTTGTATAACAATTACTTTTTTCTTCTTTACAGATTTAAAAATTTTTTCCATGATTGAAGCGAGCTATTGTGGAGCATATAAAAGTATTTTGTATGTATTTTGGATTTCTAAAACCGAAATTAACAATCAATCTTAATATTATTATTTGAATACAAAATATAAAAAATTTTCAATCTTTCGATTTTATAAATAATCTTTCGATTTTATAAATTTAAATTATATTCGTTCCTTGTAGAAATTTATTAATAATATATACTAGTATTAGCCGGTTAATCACTTATTTTGAATATTAAAATTTTTATTATTAGTACTTTTAATATTGAAAATATAAATGAGATTATATTATATTTATTAACATTAAGTAATATATTGATCCCAGTATTAGTATTATTAAAGTATTTTTAAATTTCTGAGGGATGTATTCCATTGAAATACAAAATACACTTGCATTACAAATACTATTAAATAAAAGTATTTCAAATACACATCCAAGCCCTTTGATTATTTCTTTACAGATTCCTATAAATGCACAGGTCGTGAAACTTTCAGGTCAGCTGCAAACGTCATCTACCATCCTGTAGTATAAAACATATACTATAGCCAAAAAGCTAAATATACGTCCTGATGACAATTCTCACACCGTTCTCCCGTTCTTTTTCCCGGAGGGATGACAACCTTGATATTTGGCGTCGGCGTGGGATTATTTTCCATTCTTACTTTGTGGGTGCTGGTCGCGCTAATATTCCTGATATCGTTGCGCATCGAAAAAAAGATCGGCTGGGTCTGTATAATCGCGATACTACTCGTGAGCGCATTCACGTATATCTTGCTCAAAGTGCCGCGCGCGTCAGAGAGGTCTGCTCCCACGAACAATAAGGTACGATCGGAGAAATTTTATTGGGAGGAATTGTGAGAGGAATTACGGTTAAATATTCGCTGTACTCTCTGTAAACATTCCAACCGACTCATTCATTCAATCAGGTTACGATGAACGCACTCAATTAAATCTCGATTAGTTCGTTCGAATAATATACCTATTTTCTGTAAGTGTCTTCTTAGCCTGAATAAAATTATCAATTTTTTGTTTAAAAAATTGATCGGAAAGAACCAATAATAAAATCAGAAATCTTGCTGGGAGCAACTGTCGAAATAGTCATCATTTAAATTAATCGGAATTTGGAGTGTCTGTCTAAATTATTTCATTATCAGTTATGAATACAAATTGCTTTCATTAATTAATATACATTACAAAAGTTGTTATCTAAAAGTTACCTACTTTACAAAAATCGTTTCGGAAATTTTCGTTCTGGAATTTTTTAAATTACTTCTAGACTTTATTTTAGAGATTAATTGTTGCAATTTAATTTATCTTATCAGATGTAAATAAAGTAGTTATTGAGATAAAAATAGCGTAACATTGAATAAGATTATTTATATCTTAAAAAAATTATATAATTGATTATAAGTATTTATATATCTAAATAGATTTTTGTTTTTTAGGTATACGATCGACTTTTCGTCTGGCGTATAATAATTTTGATTGTGTGTTTTATCTCGTCCATAATTTCCATTGTGGGATATATCAAATTCGGATTGGTGGGAGGCGTTAGACCAGTTAGAATAACCACCTGGGTTCTTTCTTTTGCGAATATCTTCAGTATACTTTAAATTAATAATGTAAGGATGATGTTATTACCATGGTAAAAATGAAACTTATATGTAGTGATAGTGTTTCTAAAAGTTAAATATTGCATTGTTATATGACTATTGTAACAATTTTCTTTTTAGGTACTCTTGCTCGCCCAACAAGCATGAAGACGTTCAATATGCAAGATTTAATTTATAAATGTAAAATTCATCTTGCATAAACGTAGTAATCATCGATCATTCATCTGTACTATATCATCAAATCACATTAAAAAGAAAAAAGAAGAACAATGTTGTGCAGTATAAGAAATTGCATACCATCTGTGGTGAGACGTATTTCATTATTTCGTCAGAATAATAAGCGGTACGAGATAAATAATAACAGCGAATTTGTGAATAAGGTGATGAACGGCACTGTGCCAGTTATAGTCAATTTTCACGCAGATTGGTGCGATCCTTGTAAAATATTGACACCTAAGTTAATAGAACTTATAGAGCCTATGGATAAGTTAGATCTAGCTATAGTTGATGTAGAAGAAAATCCTGAATTGGTACACGTCTTCGAGGTGAAAGCTGTACCTGCAGTGATAGCGATTTCGAATGGCTTAATCGTAGACAAATTTATCGGTTTAGTCAACAACGAGATGATAGAGAATTTAATACAAAAATTAACGAATGAAGGACCAATAATTACGGAAAGTAACGATACCAAGTCCTAGTGTCATGGCAGTATAGTAAATTATATATAATACACACTTTATGCTTCCATTTCTCTCTATCAACTAAATATATTTTCATATTTGTAGAGAGAACATAACATTTCAAGCTATTTCGTCCAAAAATTACGGCCTTTTTTATCTTATTATGCTTAGATAAGCACTATGTGAGTAAAAATTTTATATATATATGTTGTGTGAAATGGCAATATATAGATCACTTAATGTATACATATTAATATTCATAAATCTGTTGATGTTCAAATTATATATATTATATTGAAATATTTATACTTCTATTTAGATATTCTATAATATAGAGCTCATTTAACAACCTATATTCTTGAATCGACCAAAAAGATGTTAGACATTTTCCTTAAAATATTCAAAAGAAGCAAAAGAAAGATTTCTATATCATAGAAAATATTATAGAATCTATTGCAAAATCTGTAAACACTTATATGAAACACTTGTGATATATATATATATATATATACACACATACACATACATACCACATATACATACATATATATATATATATATATATATATAT